CCTCCCACTCTCTCCCTATTTATTTCAGAACCCCCTTCCCCTCCCCCTTTTCTGATGAAGGGTCTAGGCCCGAAACGTCAGCCTCTCTGCTCCTGTGATGCTGCTTGGCCTGCTGTGTTCATCCAGCCCTGCACCTTGTTGTCTCTGATCTATAACTCATGGCTGTGGGAAGGTTAAAGCTCAGGGTTGTAATGTTTCTAATGACAGTTCAGTGAAGAGTACACAACAGATTTTATGAACTGGAACCAGCACAGAGCAACACATGGAAACAGGTAAATCTCAACAAGATGAGAAAATACCCTTCATCCCCGGGACTGGTTGGAAGGGTAGGTTACACCTGGATCAATATTACTCTCCACTGATTTCAACCAGCATCACTCCCAATCCCATCAGTTTCCCAATAGGAGGGGTCTGGTAAAATTGTACCAAGATTCTCCAAACAGAATTCCAGAAACATTAATGCTAACGGGAAGCCAGAATCCTCAAAGTTGTGTATCTGAGGGACAGGAAGGAGGGTCTCAGAAACAGAAGTAACAATTTAAGGGTGTTTAAGAACCAGTTCCAGGTAACGGTGACCCACACCACTCACTCTCACAGAGTCATTCTTTGGCAAGATATCACACAGCATTTCAAACCTTCCAATGTCCCTCCCTGTCTATCCGGCATGATCAGATCTAAGAGCTGAAAACACATGCAATATTTTAGACACAGATTTACCTGGAATAGTTGTGTTCAGTCCAGGTGTAGCAGCTCGCTCTAAAGAAAACATCAAGTGTTTAGTATGGTGTGTGAAACAAACTGCAGAACTGTTTAGAGACTCTATGGAGCTTTAGGGAAACACATCCAGGGAGGAATGAGGCTCAGGTAAAACTGATCAGGAAGGATCAGGAGCAGGATTAGGAGTGAAAATTCCAACAGGATTGCTTTAACTTTGAAGGGTAGAATGGAAGTTTTCCAGGGTTTCCCTGAGCAGGATCATTCACAGTAGCTTACATCTCCCTGTGGGGACAATCCTCACAGGATCCTGGGCTGATTGGGATACACTTTCAAACTCAGTGCACTGGGTCTTGTAAAGGCTGCTGTGGGTCCCACCTCCTGCAGACCAACCTCGGAGACAGAAGGACCATGTTTCTGGGGAGGAAGTGCAGGTTCTCACACCGTTAACCCCTTCCATCATCCAGTTTGGTAGCTCCATCCTTCAGGGCTCAGCCAGCTCACACAGTGGGGTTTATTACTGAGTCACCCTTGGAGATGGACATGGAAGACCCACCTAGTAGATTCTGTGTCTGTGTGACCCTCCGTGCTTCCTCCAAGTGGTGGTGAACATTGTGGGGCACGCATTCATCAACTAAGGGAGAGCAGGAGGTGAGAATCAGCAGGAGGTTTCCAGGCCCATGTTTGACCTGAGGCTGACACAGACTCATGGAGGTCAGAGTCAATGTTGAGAAGACCAATCATTCGTCCCTCCTGACTGTATCCCACTGGTCTGATCGGAAACAGTCCGGGATTGTGACAGTGCAGTTTGGGGTGTACAGGGAATCCTGGCAGTGTGGTACTGCCACATAGCTCAACATACAGACTCCAGACCCCAGATGTTAGTGACAAGTCTGTGCAGAGTTGTCTGGGCTGAGTGTGTGTTTGTTGTTTCCTGATTCAGTCCCTGGGTCACAGCCAGTGATCTGTTCACTTTTATTCGTGTTCCTTTTTGTAATGGGGAGATAGAAACCCATTGCCCTCTGATGTGGTTTGGCAAGTCAGCTAATTGTCCCCCAGGTGAATGTGGGACTGGAGTCACATGTGGACCAAACCAGGAAAGGACAGCAGGTTTCCTTCCCTAAAGGGACCAGTCAGGGATTTACAACAATCCAACAGCTTCATGGTCACTTATTAGGGACCAACTTTCTATTTCCAGATTTTTATGTGAATATATAATTTAGATTGTGTAAGAATGCCATAACCCCTGCACAACCACAGACAGAAACATTTGTTTCAATACCAAATATCTTAAGGAGATAGCTCTCACCTCTTACAAAGAGATAGACAAAATCAGAATGCTCCAAAGAAAAATGCACACCCATTCTCTTTTGAATCCAACACTGGTACTCATCTTGGTCTGACTCCCCAAGGTCAGAGATCAGAACTGACCAGTTGCCATGTTCCAGCTGATCTTTGAACAGGTTTGTTCTGTTTCGGAACTGTGGTTCTTGTTTTCTCAAATCATCATTTCCATTGAAAAATTCACATAACACTTCATCCTCAAGTGTCCTCCACATCACCCATAAGTCTGAGACTGGGACATTCCCCTTGTAGGTACAGGGCAGCACAACCTGCTCCCCAGTGAACCCAGAAACCAGGACAGGTGAGTCACCTGGAAAAGATTGAAAGATATAACCTCAATGCTGATACATTACATCCCAAGCTTCACATGCTTACACTGTGATCCTGGATTTACAAGAAGATCTGATCAATAAAACTCACTGCTTTCATTTCTGTGGGAAGATTAAAGTTCAGACATTGAGGGTCTTCAATTAAAAGCAGCTTGTGCTGGATATTTGTCAGCACTGAGCAGGTGGCCAGCACTTTGAATCATGTCTTCCATTTGTACACACACTGGGATAGTAGTGGTAGAGTTAGGAGCAAAACACTGAAGTTTCAACTTAAAGACAGAAACAGATGGGGTTGAGGGTGGAAGTGGAAGTGCACCCAAGAATGTGCAGAGAGTTGGGACAGGTTGTGTGGACATTGCCCCCACTCCCATGCATTCAGCATTTCACTGATGACCCAGAGCCTAATCCCCACTCCCACTCTGAGACAATTCCCATCTCCATTTGATTCCAGGACTTTCCTGGATTCCTGATCCCAGTGCTCAGGGCCTACTCTGCCAACCCTGTGTCACAGTGTTGCTCAGTGTCCAGATACCACTGCTCACATCCAGGGGTTAATCTGAAGACGTTAAGTGCCTTCCTTTTAGCTCTGTTTCATGATCATGGTGTGGGACATGAGCGTACTGTACTCACTCCCTCAATGGCTCCACCTGCAGTTTACACAGCACCTTAAAGCAAGATAAATTCCTGATTCCCTCCCACCGCTAGCCTTGGATCACTGCTGAAATGTCCCAGCACTCACCTGGAACAGCAGCAACAACATTTAGCAGCAGCGGGAGTAGTTTCAGTGAGATGTGTCCCTGCAAAAAGAAAACACAGTGAGCCCCTTTCCAACAGGTTCACCGCTGGGAAAGCTTTTCCCGAATCCCCCTCCGTCCGCTGGATCCCCTGTGTGGGAGACACTGACAGTAAGTACCTGCAGCTTCTGAACATCCATTTCCTCGGCCGGCAACGGTTTGCCCGCAACCTCTCAGTCTGAGGCCGGGAAATTAGAAATCTCTCAGTCTGCTGCAGAGAAAATCCAGATTGTGCTTTAATACTGTCACCGGGGGGACTGAGCGATCCGAATGCAGCTTCGCCTCAAAGCTGCTTGTCCCCTGAAGGGATTGGAGTGAGACAACGATCCGAGTGGGGACTCCCGGAAAAGCCGGGGGATGGAAGGGGGAAGGGACAAGAGTGATCCACCTCCTTCTACTCTGTACAATGTGGGTCAGTCGACATAAGAACAATCGGGAAACAAGGTGTTCATATGGGAGACAGTAAGAACTGCCGATGCTGGAGGCAGAGATAACACAGTGTGGAGCTGGGGGAACACAGCAGGCCAGGAACAAAAACAAAGTTGCTGGAAAAGCTCAGCAGGTCTGGCAGCATCTGTGAAGGAGAAAACAGAGTTAACGTTTCGGGTCCGGTGACCCTTCCTCAGAACAGCAGCTCAGGCAACGCCAAAGGAGCAGGAAAGTTGACGTTTCGGGTGGGTCCCCTTCTTCAGAAATCAAGTAGGAAGTGCTGGTATCCCATGATGAAGAGTCAGAGGGGGGTGTGGCTAAGGTTGAGGGTTCTGCTTGTTCGTTGACTGTGAATGCGAAAAGGAGGCAGGATTCTGAACGAACGGTATCTGCATTAAATCTGATTTTTTTTTCCCCCACACATGCTGCCAAACCTGCTGAATGTTTGCAGCAACTTCTGTTCCGTTCCTGATTTACAGCATCTGCTGTTCTTTCGGGGGTTATTTTTTGCCATCTAGATGCGACACTCATAAAGTCACAACAATGCCTGTTCTTCCTCAGGGGGCTCAGGAAATTGGCATGACCCCATGTTGCCCCTCATCAGATGCACCATAGAAAACATACTATCCGGGTGCATAACGGCCTGGTATGGCAACTGCTCTGCCCAGGACCGTAAGAAACTACAGAAGGTGGTGTGCGCAGCCCAGACCAT